CGAACATCTTCTTAAACGTCTCGCGAGGAATAAACTTAATGTTATTCCAGTTAAGCTCTTTGAGGTTCGGGTCGTTGGCGATCACCTGTTTGGCGGTGGCCTCCGGATCGGTGATGTTGTCCGGTTCAAAGGGCAACTTCTTGGGCGTCGGCGCCTTCACTATCGACTCAAACTTGTCGCCAATGCGTTGCCCTTTGTTTAGTATAGAGTTGTGGAACTGGTCCTGATTGAGCATCGAGTGCAGCCCCAGAATGCCCGCCAAGTCCACCAGATCCGCCTCCGACGCGTCGTCCAGCGCCTGTTCCGCGCCGTCCTCTAAGTCCAGTATTATCTTCTCGTCGGACGACTGGTCCGGAGTGTCAGTCTCTTTGGGGATAAATATTTTGCCTGAAAAACACACATAAAATCCGTATTAAAACCACATAATTGTTAGCAAAAAAATATGTAGCGCTCCGGGAGTTCCCCGATAGCACCCAATCATACCTTTTTTGACTCCGGGCTGGAATTGCTTAAACTCGGGCCAGTCTTCCTGTTCGGCGGCAAACTTTGTGAGAAAAGTCAACAACTTTTTGCGATTCAGTGGACCGGTGGCCGACTTCGACGTCTGGTCTTTGCAGCGCTGCGACGGCGGCAGTAGGTTGTCGTCGGGGTCCACCTCTTCGCTCAACTGTTCCAACTCTTCGGCCGACAACTGTGCCAACAGGTTCTCCACGTCGACGTTGTCGTACTCTTTCAGATCGCGGCCGTAAAGCATTTTCAGCTTCGGCTGCTCTACTGGTGGCGACTCTACCGACTTCTGGCGCTCCGACAGCCGGCGCTGGTTTATGGTTCGCGTCGTTTTCGTGATCTACGGGTAGAGTGACCAACAAAACACACATTAATTATTAATATTGGTTAATTATTATGTGAATTTAATTGATTAACAGTTGTAAACAGTAGTATCAAAACAATACAATACAGCACTAGTGAGAGAATATCACGTGATATATGTGTGATATACCAAAACTCTTGGTAATAATAATCATCAGTAATTGCCTATTGATTTACGTTAAATTTAAATATATACACAATGTATACATAATCAAGAGTTTGCCCACAAATCTATCACGTGGTTTTTAGGTGGCGGTTAAAAGCCGTATCAAATAAGGCACCGCATGACTGTTCTAGCGGAACCATGGTTGTTTTTTGTGCACTAAATATTATGCGATTAGGCGCATTTTTATTCATAATTAAAGGTACAAATATGTGTTAAGGTGCTTTCTTATCGTACTAATGTACTAATTAGTGTGTTATATTCACGGCCGCGTGAGATACACCAACCACCAAGCACAGTTAATAGAGATGCTCCCGGGTTTGCCCGGCATTTCAATCGGGGTAAGAATATTTGTAGGGAAAGGCCTTAACACCACTACTACTCCATATTAATTTACCGTAAATTACATACTACTTGTAAACTAATCATTATATTAACCAAGTTAATAACATATAACATAATAACTATATTAACTAAATTAACTAAAGTTAACTAAATTATTAGTTATTAAACTATTACTACTAGCTATAAATGAGATATAGTGTGTCTGTGTTTTGTATAACTGGTGGTAGTAACTGACCAGTGACTGCCGGGTCACGTGGGATACAGTGCTCGTGGGCTATGGGGGTTACAAACAAACAATAGGCAATTAAATATTCAAATGTACATCAAAATTCACCAAGCTCATACTCTCTATCATGTGTAATGTATGCACAAAAAAAATCGCTAAATTAAACCCGATGAATATTCTTGAGCACAGAATATACAAAAACAAACAAATAATTGTAAATTATAAATGTCAATGATACAAAATGTGCTTATTTCATTTAAATAAATAACAATATGGTGAATATAAAATAAAAGTCAAGGGTGTTTATAAAACTGCTGAAATATATGCCATTTCACGTAAATTAATAATAAGTTTTCATTGAAAAACAATACTTGATTAGAGAGAGAGAGAGAGAGAGAGAGAGATACCAAACGAGGAGAGAGAGTGTGCGCGAAGTTTGCATTGAATAAGAGTTGCAGTGTTTTGTGTTAGAGCNGAGAGAGAGAGAGAGAGAGAGAGAGAGAGAGAGAGAGAGAGAGCACAGGTTGTGCTCAATAATTAAAAACATGATAAAGACTTTTATTTACATAACAATAAACAATACATAGAGCCTAACAAAAACACATTAATTACCCCCTACTGTCCCCCTTAAACACCTACCCCTCAATTGGTTACCCCATATCTAACCCCTTTATAAGCAACCGTAAGGACACACACGAGGTATTTATTATACAGATAATAACCGATATATAAATTATAAACATTATTATAACAATAATAATCACTAATTAATAACAAATACAATGTTGTAAACACCGGGCGCTTAATAAATAGGCGAGAGTTTTATATATAACTCAACAGCCATTTAGCTATCATTTTGAATGAGTCATGCGATAAATTAAATTGAATTTTATTTTGTCATTGATCCATTAATATATTCAATATCACCAATACCAAACAGCAACACCCAACATCAAACAACACCTGGATCATTTCATCAAAATAACTGTCACTAAACAGTTTGATTTTTACCCGTACTGTACATACAATCATAATTAATATATACATGTATAGTATAGGTATGTAAATAAATATCCGGGATATTCACACAATAAGGTAAAAAATTAACAAATCATTTGAGGGCACAATTTGTATGCATACAAATGCGTTGACATTAACTGTACAAACGATATACACATACAGTGTATGCGAAATAACAATAATAAACATGGTGTTTCTAAATGTACCACCAAAACATACCTTGGTGTATTCGAACTCGAACTCATCATTATTATCATCAGCCATTTGTATGTGTGAAATATGACCAAGGTATTAAAAATCACTATTAATAAGTATGGCCTATGGATAACAAATGGCAAAAACACAATACAATGCAATACAAGTCAACGCTTTTGGCTTTTAATATGAAATTCAATGCAATATTCAATACAAGACTGAAATTGTTGTGTATTTTTTGGATACGATTATCATATATGGAGTCAAAGACAGAGCTCTAACACAAAACACTGCAACTCTTATTCAATGCAAACTTCGCGCACACTCTCTCTCCTCGTTTGGTATCTCTCTCTCTCTCCCTCTCTCTCTCTCTCGCTCTCTCCCCCAGTATATCCAGTACTGGGAGTGGCTCTCCCTCTCTGCGCTCCCCCTCTCCCTCTCAAACTGGATATACGGGATGTAAACCATTCGCAAACAACGTGCGGCTCGTTTGAATGCCCTAGCTACTCTATTCATAATGCATCATTTCAAATCCTATTAATAATTTGATAATGCTAATTCTATGGCTTAAGGTAATTGTTTTTATGGGAAATTAACACACCATCTAATGTTTAGATTAGATTAAGTTTAGTTTAGATTTTTAAATGAATGCTATAAATTATTATTTTTCAAAATTGTGGTCACAATAGGGTTTGTCTGTAAGCCTTGTTTTTGTGTCGAAATTTTAATGATAAACTGCTCATCCGTTCACTCCTTTCGGGAAATCATAATTTTGTCGTTCAGTTAATAAGCGATTGTTTTTCTGTCCAAACGTTTTTCCTGACAAACAATTTGTTTTCAAAACATAATATAATTTATAATCTCTCTCTCCCTCTCTCTCTCTCTCTCTCTCTCTCCCAGTATATCCAGTACTGGGAGTGGCTCTCCCTCTCTGCGCTCCCCCTCTCCCTCTCAAACTGGATATACGGGATGTAAACCATTCGCAAA